TAGCAAAAATCTCTCTTAAAAATAAATAAATGACTCATACTTTGTAAAACTTACTTGAAACTTCATATTTATTCACTAGAATATATAACTAATTGGAATTTATTTCCCTACATTGTCAAATACATTTATTCTCTAACAAAGAACATTTTTTGTACTTTAAATGTTGCTTATTATATTTCACTGTAGTATTAAAAGAAACAGAAGCAATAATTGATTATGATAATGTACTAACAAAAACCTCACAGATACTATGACATTCTTACCTGTGATTCTCTTTAAGAAATGTGACATCATGCCGAAATACACGGGTAGGCAAAGAGGAAAGTAGGGCATCAACTTTCATGATGAGGTCGCTCATGCTAGATAAAGAAGGGGACAAGGTCTGAGTTCTTTGGAAAAAGAACGTTTCATATTCATGTTACAGTTAGTGTTTAGAGAAAGGCTCTATATAAATGAACAAGGTTCTATGGAAGTGGATGGCAAAAGACTTACAGCATAAAAGCATTTCTCTAAAAACATCAAGGCATTTAACACAGTCAATGCCAGCAATAGATATGTACATATAAAGCAAATAAACATGAGAATCATGTACATAACCTTTAGGAAAATGGATATATGTTGGGAAGGGAGAAAACTGGGAAGGCCATTAAGAAACAAAGCGAGTCAGCTTCAAGGCAAATAAAACATTAACACCAGGACCAGCACGTGGTATAGCCGTTGCACCACTGGATTTCCACCGCAGTTTGGTCCCGGACCTGGTGGCTTAAAACTCATGCCGGGCGTGTGTGCATGTGTGCCCAAGATCCCAGGAGAAGAGTGGAGGAGAAGGGACTGTGGTGTGGCCATTCCCCCTGGGGAGTGATTTCTCATTTTTCTTTCACTTTCCTCTCACTGTCTCTTATCTGTCTCTGGTGAGCACATCTGCCCTAAGACAAAAAGCTCTACAGAAAAGCAAATAACATCTATAGTTTGGTGGTGGTGAGTGAATGGATATCTTTAATTATCTCTTTATATTCACCAAATGTCTTTTATCATACCTTTATTTTTCTACACACTTGAAATATTTTCTAATTGTGAAAACAGGCAAATGCAAAATAACAAACTCCAAAATGAACTGCTCTTATGATTTTGAATACTTACTTCTTTGAGTTGATTTCCATATTTTCAACAATGCCTTTAATATTCTGTACTAAATTAGTAAATGTTATCTTTTCCAACACGTAAAAATCTTCTACATAGAAATCTTCATCTATTGGTCCGAAGAACTTAAAATAAAAAAAAGTTAAATTATTGTATACCTTCTAGAAGATATCAGTGTAGGAAAAATAATTTTTTCATCAAATAGTTCTTTGGTAAGAAAATCTAATTAGGGATTAAAGAGATGGTAGCTATTAATTCTATTAGTTTCTAAGCCTAATAGGAAATTAAAAAAAGAAAATATTTTCTCACTTTGATATTACAAATAATTGTGTAAACACAAAAATTGAAGTGACAAAATAAAAAAGTAACAAATGATTTTCCTTACAAAGTTTTATTTTGAAACATAAACTATGATGTATCTGAATAACTAAGGCTTTTCCTTCTAAATTAAATTGTGAAATCAACTGTCTGTATTTATAAATCTCATTTCAATTTTCTTTCATTTTCAACTATAAATTATAGTCTACACAATGTAGATATGAATTAATATGTAAACAAACCATAAAATAAAAAAACCAAGAGAGAAATCACATAATAATTACAATAATACCAAGCAATTTTCATCTGATATTGTAAAAATGGTTTGGGAGTAGCGAGGTGGTTTTTAGCTTTATAAAAGTAACTACAAAGTAAAAAGCTATTGAGTTGTTACCTAATTTCTCAGAAGGGCTAGCCCATCACAAGCACCACCAACTTGACCACCATGAACATTTACTGGGCAAGGTAATACATGCAATCATCATATTATCATGTATACAAAGCTCAGAAATGAATGGGGAGACTGACATAGTCTGATGTAAGAAATGATTATATTTAATGGTAAATCATTAAAAGATGTCAATTAGAATATTTTTCTTTTTTGGTAAAACAAAAACAAAAACAAACTAGAATATAATGATTGCAATCACATTTGCTCACTTCCTTGTCATTAGTTTCTACAATGAATATTAAAAACTACTGAAGTATCATCCTTAAATTCCCATTTCTTATGTCAAAGACAATATTAGCTGAAATGTTGGTATCCCAGCTAAACAAATACAATGTTTCACCTTAAATATAAACACAGGCTCTTAAAAATGCATAAAAAAGGCATCGTAGTATTGAAAATACCTACATGAGGATACTGAAAAAGTTCACAGGAAAATGGAATTGAAATACAAATTTATTTTGAGACAAATTTTTTTCTAGTTATTTCCATCATAAACATCTTCCTTCACCTCTCTTTTTATCATTTATTTGTTTTTACATTTTCCCAAAAACATTTACTGTACATAACAAAAAATTTTTGCTCATACTTCATAGTTTTGACAGTTAAGAAACAACTTCCAAAATTTCAAAATACTGAATTTTAAAGATAATGTTCAAAATATTTCTTAGGATTTTGTTTGTGACTCTATAACAACAGAGACAGTATGGTTTTAAATAGTTTTGAGAAAATATTTATGTCAATTACTCAAATTGTTGAAAAGCAAATACCCAGCACACAATTCACACATAAACCTTCTCAAGTCAGCCCTGTTTACCAAGTATTCTGTGATATACCATCTGCTAGCAAAGACCAGTCTCTTTTTCTTCCTTCAAAGTCCTCAAGATAATCCTCTGGTTGTGGCTGCTCTTTTGTAATCTCTACTGATTACAATGCTGGACTGGAAAAAATCCAGGTTATTTTATGGTATAAATTCTTTCATATAGCTTCTCTAATCTTCTCTGCCAGGCAGAACTGTTTATGGTGCCAGGCCATCTTTCCAAGAACTTCTGTTGACTTACTTGAGATCCACCTTAGTTCTATAGTTTTCAGATTATTCAGTTATGACGTTCCAGTCAAAGCCCTGTCCAATTATAAGTATTTCCAATTTCTGATTCAATGTAACAAGCATTATTGAACTTATTATGTAAATTACCCTTCTGCCACAAAATAAGAATACTCCCAGATATTTTCCAATTCCTGGATCAGGAAGGAAGAAAAGTTTATGTTTCCATTTAAAGAAACAAATAAAAAATATTTTAACAAATTGCTGAACCTATCAATAGTTCAAAAGAAAACAAAATCCTTAAATTGGGAAAACAAAGCACAGTAAAAAAAAATCAGTAATATTCTACTCGAAAGTCATAAAATTCTATTTACCCGTTCAGTCTTATGTTCAATCTTTCTTCAGTTGAATCTGCAGTGTTAACTGTGGTCCGATCTTTCCGTTTAAATCCTGGAAGTTAACATTCAACATTATTGTTAATATTTCTTGTCCCTAGCATTAAGTTGATCATTTTCTTGGCTGCGTTTTGTTCTTTTATTTCTGTATGTGTTTTTAGTTTTCCTGGTAGAGCACTCCTTTCAGAACTTCAAGAGTGGATCTGTTATTGGTAAATTCTTTCAGGTCTTGTTTATCTGAAAATGTTTTTATCTTTTTTTTTCCCATATGAAAGATAATTTTGCCGGGTATAGTATTCTTGGTTGAAATTGTTTTTCACTCAACACTTTGACTATGTTTCCCCCTTTCCTTGCTTGCATTGTGTCTGATGAGAGGTCTGATGTTAACCTAGTGGGATAACTTTTATAAGTAAACAGATGTTTCTCTCCTGCCAATTTTAGTATCTTTTCTTTGTGGATTTTGCCACTCTTTCAATGATGGGCCTTGGAGAAGATCTTCTTGGGTAGATTCTTTTAGGGGTCATTTGTATTTCTTGGGTCTGGATATTTGAATGCCTCTCTGGATTTGGAGTTTTGTTCCAAGATTTCTTGGAATATATCATCAATGCCCTTATTAGTTTCTTCACCTTCTGGGATACCAATTATCTGGATGTTTGGATGCTTAATGGTGTCTAGTGTTTCTCATATAGTATTCTAATTCTTTTCAGGGTTATTTTCTCAGTTATTTTAGTTTTTTTTTTTTTTCCTAGATCAGAGGTTTTGCCTTCAACATCCGAGATTCAATCTTCTGCATGGACTAACCTGCTTTTAATACTTTTGAAGGAGGTTCTGACTTCCTGAATTGCAGCCTTCATCTCTAATAGCTCCATTTGATTCTTTTTTATGGTGTGTATTTCCTCTTTCAGATTGTGCAAGAACTTCCTCATCTCCTGGAACTTGTAGTCTCTTTTCTCCTATATCTTCTAGAGTTCATTGTCTCTCAGCTCTTGCATCTCATTTAGTTTTGTTACTATGAATATTCTGAATTCTCTATCAGACATTTCCATGAGTTCTATTGTACTGTCTGTGGATGATGAAGGATTGTTCTTTTCCTTTAGGGGAAAAATATTTTCTTGGTTTCTCAAATTTCCTGTGCCTCTGTGGTGGTTTCTGGTCATTCTTTGACAAAATCTCTCCTCCACTTGTCTGAGTATTTTGGGAGTCTAGAAGATGGGAGTTTAGAGCATAGCTTCCCTGAACATGCTAGGACACACTTCAGCTTTAAAATGGCGTTTTCTCTGAGTATTTCGGGACTCTAGAAGATGGAGTTTAGAACATAGCTTCCCTCTTAGGCAAATTTTGAAACCATGCAGTTTTTATGTAATATGCATTTTCCATGAACTTTTTGAAGATACTCATCTAAACATTTCACTGCCTTAAGATTTAATATAATTTTTAAGCCAACTTTGAAAACCCATTCAATGTTGCTTTTTTGGACAATGAATAGGCAGACTTGGAAAAAAGCTGAATTTTATATCTATATCACCTCTAGTGACAAGGAGTTTTGGTTGTAGCTCAGAATAAGAAAATAAAATCTTAGATTATTTTCTTAAGGTTTTAACCATACTGACAACCTTACTGATTAAATTCACCAGAGAATAGGCTCTTTTTTGCCTACATAAGTAAGCTCAGTGTTAAATAGCTTAGAGAAACTTGATTCTTCTGTGTCTTAATTTTTTCTATTTAAAGTAAATATAATTGTGAAATAAAGTGAAGAAGTATAAAATCACATTATGTCCAAGTTGAGAAAAAGAACATGAAACTTGAAAACCATGTAATAATATAATAACATTTATCTGATGCTTATATCTTCTTTACAACTTTTTGGAAACATAATTTGACTTTTCATTTATATAATAACTGCTATGACAAATGAATCATCTCCTTTGACTGCTCACTGAAATATTTAAAACCTTTGCTAGATGTTTATCTATGCACTGAGCAAAAATCTCTCCACTCAAAAAGTTTAATCAACTAGCTTTAATTCTATATTGACTCTCGTCTACTGTAACAAATAAAGTCTATAAGTATACCCAGTATTTTCCACGAGATGGTCTTCAAATTTTTCAAAAGACAACAGAAGTCAACATTTACTGAAAATTTACTTCATATCAGGGGCTACTCTACGTGCTTTACATGTAAAAACATATTCAATCATGCTGACAACCATGTAAAGTATATTATTACCACTTCTCTTGTCCCAACAAAGAAACTAAGTCTCATAGAGGTTAAATAATGAATGGTACAAATGGAATTTTAATTCATCTCTGTCTGGCCAAAAAAACTAAAACCATGGTTCAAGGATGCCTTGTGAAAGTTAGTAGCTTATTTTGGAGTTCATCCTGATGGTGTCCCTAAAGCTATCAGTACTGTAATGTTTATTTGTTAAAAAAAAAAAAATAAGACTTTGGAAACATGCTGTTTTTGAAACAGATGTGTGATGGATGTTATAATCCTTTGCTGAATGGTATTCATTAAAAGTAGGTTTTCAGTCCTTGGCCTTCAAGTGTACATAGAGTCAGGGTTGCTTTCTAAAGACTTTTTTATCTCACTTTTTAAAAAAAATACAATCATCAACCTTGAATACACTCATGTAAATTAATGACCATGTTAAAGTTGCCCTTATGTTTATATTTCACTTTAAATTGTTGATCATGTCAGGCCAATTTGTACATAGGTTCCCGAAACATGCTGTTTTTGAAACAGATGTGTGATGGATGTTATAATCCTTTGCTGAATGGTATTCATTAAGAGTGGATTTTCAGCTCTTGGCCTTCAAGCATACATAGAGTCAAGGTTGCTTTCTAAAGACTTTTTTAACCTTAATTTTTTTTAAAAAGTACAATCATCAACTTTGAATACACTCATGTAAATTAAGGACCATGTTTAAGTTGCCCTTATGTTTATATTTCACTTTAAATTATTGATCATGTCAAGCCAATTTGTACAAAGACTTTGGAATCAAATGCCATGCTATATATAAATATATCAAGAATGAACCTGCTTCTCCAGCCTTATTGTTTGCATGCTACCTGGTCATTGTCAGTTAATCGTAGTATGGTTTTCATTTAAAGCATTTACTTAATTAAAAAAAAAATTTCTGTCATCAACTTGTTTTATATGCTTTTTCTATTATACTTTCAAAGAATAATTTTAGTCTAATTCAAAATGTAATTTTTATCCAAATAGTAACTTAAAAAACCCAACCATCCCTTTAGAATATGATAATATATTGATAATATATTGGTTGAACCATAAGAAATGCCTTTTATGGGTCAGAAACAATCATCATTTTTTTATGAGATAGACCAGTAGAATTGCCACTGACGAGATCAGCTCCTAGTCTAAACACCATTGAAATACCAAGTACAAAAACACATGGGATTAAGTGTGTGTGGTGTGTCTTTCTGTCTGGAAATAATGTTCCTAGGACTTCTGGGAATTACTGATGTCACTGAATTTTGTACTCAACAAAAAAGGAGGGGTAGGTCTCCTCTCCCTTTAAAAAGAAAGAAAAAAAAAAAAGAAAGAACCTCACTCTCTATTGCACCATGTCTTCCAGCAATTTGTAAATATGTAGTGTAATAAAAATAAATACAAAATATAAAATATAGAAATTACTTGGGCCAGCCCACAGTATAGTGGTTAAGGTGACTGGATCCCACATGGTCAACATTGCAGTTCAAGCCCTAGGCCTGGCGGCTTGAGAAACATGCCAGGCATTTGTGTGTGCATGTCCAGACTCCCAAAAGAAGGAAGAAATGGAGAAGATATTGTGGCATGACCATTCACCTTGGAGGGTGCTTTCTTTCTTTCTTTCTGTTGAGAGGATACATGCCCTCTGAAAAATTAAAAAAAAAAAAAAAGTGCTTTAGAGCTTTGAAGATGATTTATGGATATATAATGTGATAACACAAGCCAGAGATATATCAAACATATTGTATTAATTGATTTATTAATAAATCTAAGTGTTAGTTTTAATTTTTAACTTAATAAGAAATGAAATCATATATTAAAAGAATATTAATACATAGAAAGATACTTTTTTGTATGTGCATGTAAAAACTCCAATCAAAAAAGTGTTTTGCTATATTAAGAGAAAAAACATGATATAAAATTATATGTATAGGATGATACACATATGTTAAAAAGCAAATAGCCATGGCAGAAAAAATTCTTGGAAAGCAAAACAAATTATTAGGTGGTTGGGAAAGTGATGACACATTTTTGCATAGAAACACATAGAAAAATAGGTCAAGACTTTCCTGATGACCTCACATTATTAGAAATTTGTATTACGATGGTGAAAGTAAGAAGATTTTTCCTGTAGCTTTTCAAAGATGATACTAACAAGTAACATGTGATAACATATTCTACTTTATATCTCAAAACTTACAAGTCACTTAATTGTAGAAGAAAAAGTACAAGAAAAAAAAAGCCATAACAATGGATTTACTATGCCTACAATACTTCTCAATCACAATGCTGTGATGTATTCTAAGTTGATTGTTGTGATACTTACATTAGGACAAAATAAAAGCTAGATGTGTGCTGAACACTCCTCTTTATTTGCATTCATGGTATCACGAGTGGAGGAAGGAGAGGAGAACAGACAGTGTACCATGTGTGTTCACACTGAGCCCTGTCTGGTGTCTGGGGTGTTCAGCACCTGAGAGCACCGTCTGTAGGTAGTGAGGTATGCTGTGACAGAAAGTCTGAGACCCACCGCATCAGTGTCACCGAGACGAGGGAGTACCTCCTTTTCCTACTTACTTTCCCATTGCTGACAATACCTATTTCCCCTGGAAGCAATCCGAGTACATTTTGACAAAACAACTGGTGCGTTCTGAAAATATTCATTCTGATGGTATTATATTTTTTCTCAAAAGCATTCTTATCCATTTCCTAAAGCACAAAAATGAGGAAATTAATAAGAAAATCATAAGTATATTAAATAATTTTCTCAGTACATACTTTAATTAATATATTAATAATTAGTATAAAATTTGAGGTTAGGGACCAGCAGTTAGTGTAATGACTATGTTGCTGGACTCCCATGTAGTTAACTGCAGTTCAAATTCCGGACCTGGTGGCTTAAAACTCACGCCAGGCGCATGTGTGTGTGCCCAAGATCCCAAGACAAGAATGGAGGAAAAGGGACTGTGGCATGGCCATCCCTCCTGGTGGGGTGATTTCTCACTTTCTGTCTCTCTGTCTTCCTGGTGAGCGCACACACCCTATAGTAAAAACCTCTAAAAAAAAAAAATGAGGTTATATTAAATTATGATTTCAGTATTTTCTTCTGAAACATTTTTGAAAATGACCTTTTGCCAAGTCATTTACAGTGTGTTTAAATGTTGTTAGAAGTAGATTTGTTTGCTATTCATCTTTTCAGAATTTTAAGGGGATTATTGAATTAGTAAAATAGTAGAGTGCATCAATTTAAGTAATTTTTAACATTAAAAAGTGAAATAAAGTATGCATTATTTTCTGAACTCAGAATTCTTCAATTTGGTCTTCTCAATTAAAAAATAGTGTTTAAAATAAAAATAACCGTTCTCACCCATAATACCAATCTCAGAAAACCAATTGAGTAACAATGCATTAAAACAGTGAACTATGGAAATTAAACCTTGGTTAGAGTAAAAAAAAATATATGGCTGTTCATAGAAAATAAGCTAACAAATAGGTTCCTTGCACCTCTCACCCATAATATCAATCTCAGAAAACCAACTGAGTAATAGTGCATTAAAACAGTGAACTATGGAAATTAAACCTTGGTTAGAGTAAAAAAAAATATATGGCTGTTCATAGAAAATAAGCTAATAAATAGGTTCCTTGCACTTTCATAGAAAGGCATACTTCTCTCTCCCTATACTTATCAAACTTTACTGTGCATATCACTCACCCAAGTACTTTGTTAAGATGAAAATTCAATTTCAGTAGAACCAAGATGAAGTCTTAAATTCTGAATTTCTCACCAGTTACTAGGACCTCTGCTATGAGGGAAATGTTCTCCTGCCCGATCCAGTATGGTAGCTATAGCCACAGGTGGTTGGTTATTTAGCACTGGAAATGTGGTTGGCATGACAATCCACCTAGGTCCTCCTTATTTCCCAAATATCTGACCTGCCCCCCTTACTAGTCCAATTCGACCTTTCGGTCCACAGATTGTGCCACATATTCATTGTTCATCTGTTTCCCATGATATAATTTTTCTCCTAACCTTATATCTTAGACTCCTTTATTTAAAAAATAAAATGCTGCCAATTTTGTTCTCTTGAATGTCTCTCCTCAGTCATATTCACCTGGAAAAATCCAGCCCTGACTGTCCACGACTCTGTTCACTATGCAACTGGATTGCAACGGGGGAACGCATCTGCAGGAAAACATGCTACCAATGCTGATCTCGTTTTCAATTTATTTTTTTTAATTTTTAATTAATTGATTAATTTACATTAATCCCCTAAGCATCGTCACAGCATACAAAATGTGATCTCCCATCCAGAATATACTGCACAGTGGCTTAATCAGACACGTTATCGTCAATAATTTTCCATTTCTAGTTTCATATACATATATAAAAATATATATATTTCCCCCCTATTTCTCACCCTCTGCCATTTCCCACCCTTCTCCCACACTATTTCAGGTGTCTACAGTTGTTTCCTATTCCTTTTCCCCCCACATTTTATTGATTCACAAAATTTCTTAAACAATCTAACTACCTACAATAGCAAGTCCAGCTGGCATATACATGTCTGACTTTAGTTGTTAAACTCTGAGTAGAATGAATATACTATAAGATAGCTTTGACCAGATCTCCAAGAAGTTCTGAAGGGAGTGCTATACCAGGAAAATTAAATACGGACACACAGAAATAAGAGTTCAAAAACTAAGAAAATGGCCAACTTAATGGTAGGGACAAAGTCTGGAGTTAAATATTACATGACTTTCAATTTCTGATCACTAGTCTCAAGCAGGCCCTCAGCAATGACCAGAAATCTTCCTTCACTAACATATTAAATTCACTTTCTCTTGCAATAACAGAAAAATATTTGACATTTTATTCCCTTTTCAAATCCCTAAGAATACTTACTCCTGTTCTAATACTTAGCTAATGACTTGACTTTTGACAATAAGAACAATCAGAAGAAAAACACTTCATCTTGTTATCACTAAAATAATCAACATTTCTGCATCTGTACCCTTCTGGTTAAAATGAACAATTTCTGCTCTTTTGATCGACATGTAACACGTGTGCGTTAGATCCCAGCACCTTTATCTACTCGAGACCTATGCTTCTGTTTGGCTCCCCTCTATGTATCATTCGTTCCCATTTTGCAGATGGATCACTTCATTAACATATAAAATGGTAACATCTCCCAAATTCAGAAATCGTCTGATAGCAAGTCCCACTCCAGCCACAGCCCTCTTCCTCTGCTGTTCTGCATAGGAAAAGTCCTTGAAAGAGCTGCCCATTATTACTGTCTCTTATTTTCTGATTCCCACTCTCTCGGATCTAGTTCACTTTTACAGTCTTACTGAAACAGTTCTTATCAAAGTCAGCAATGCTCAGCTTACCAAAATGGTCAACTAGGAAGCCTCACTTCAGGAACATCTATCGTAGTGTACCTTTCCTTCCTTGAAAGACGTTTTCCCATCGACTTCCAGGGCATTACATGCTTCTGTCTATCTTCCTCTTTGGCTGTTCCAACTGTCTTCTTTACTGGATCAGCTTTTTCACATGTTCCTCTATCTGCTGAAATGTTCTGGGACTCAATTTTCAGCCTCTCTGTTCTCCTTCTTTCATACCCTACACTCACTTCCTAGGTAACCTCATCTAATACTTTGGTTTTTATATATCATATAATGTTGATGATTGACTCTCAAAAGAAATATTAAAAAATAGTAATATTACAGTTCTCCATTGAATTCTACACTAATTTGCCCAGCTGTTAATATCACCACTTGGCTGTCCAACAGGCATCTCCAATATGTACATAAAACTTAACTCTTGATGTAAAGTATGTCCAAATCCTCTCTTCCTCTAGACTTCTCCACCTCAAAAAGATACTAAAATTAATTCCAGCTGTTAAACTGAAATTCTAGGAAATTATCTTCACGTGTCACAATGATCAGCGTTTATAGCTGTAGCAAATACTATTCAATCAACTCATCACCTCTATCACCCCTCTCTAGTCTAAGATATCTTTATTCTTATGCAATAGCAAATTAATTGCTGATTCTACTTCCATTCTTTGTCTACCTATTATCAAATTTTTATTCGCATCTAGTCTTCTTTCTTCTTTTCTCTTTTTTCCTTCTTTCCTTCCCCCTTCCCTTCCTTCCCTCCTTCATTTCTTTTTTTCTTTTTTGCTAGAGGATGGGTGTGCTCATCGGACAGAAAAAGAAAGCACCTTCTGCTATGCTGTGGCCATGGTATAGTCCTTTCTCCTTCTTTTGTCCTTCATGTCAAGATTTGGGGCAAATGCGCCCAGTGTGTTTTTCAAGCAAAGGGACCAGGATTTGTACCATGGATGGCCATGTGGGATGTAGTTCCCTTAACTGCTGCACTATGGAGAAGACCCCAGAGTCTTATTTTTTTTTTTTTTTGAGAGTTTTTTTTGCTATAGGGCATGTGTGCTTGCCAGAAAGACAGAGACAGACAGACAGAAAGTGAGAAGTCATTTCCCAGGAAAATGGCCACACCACAATTCCTTCTCCTCCACTCTCCTCTTGGGATCTTGGGCACGCACACACACGTGCCTGGCCTGAGTTTAAGCCACCAGGTCCGGGACTCAAACCATGGTCAACTACATGGGGGTCCAGCGACTGCCATTAAGCTGACTGCTGGTCCCCAGAGTCATGTTTTAAAAAGATTTACTTCTGTAAGATTGCTCAGAGACTTTCCAAAATACTCGGTAAAAATTCAGAATTTTACCATGGCCTTATTGTACTTGAAATACCTGGGGGTCTCTCTCTGACTTCCCCTATAGTATTTGCCACAGTTCTCAGTCCATTCTGTTCATAATGATTTTCTGTCCATACTTCAGACCTGGCAAGACTGTCTCTGTCTTAGGCTCTGTACCTCTTATGTTCCTGAACCTGGTACACTCACTCTGCAGACTTTCACATGACTTGACCTCACATTTCACTCAGACCTCTGCTTAAATGTAAGCTTTAGACAAAAGTTGACCACGCCACCTAAAATAATATCCTCTTATGCTTTTATATATATCTCCAGTACCACTTATTTTGTCTGTCTTTCACTCTACAATGTAAACTCCACAAGCAACAAGGATTCTATCTGCCTTGGTCATAAATATGTCTCCGTTGTTTGACAGAAAATCAAGAAATAACTTTTGAATGGATTAATATATTTTTCTTTCAGAAGGTCATTGACTTGAACTTCCCCATGCTGACCCCTGTCAGTGAGATACCTGAGGATTATTTACATGATACTTTAATTCCCACTTAAGTTCAGATCCTTAGTACAGTGTCATCAGCTTTACTGATCATGAAGTAGTTAATGAAATATGTGAAATTTCATGTTAACTATTCTATGCAAAGTCATACCATTTCCCATTGCAAGATTAATATTTATTATCCCCAGTTGATTTGACCTATACATTAATGTTTTTGCTAACATGCTATCTCCAGGTACATTAACTTACATTTTTGAAATATGTAACTCATACTTATTTCTAACAAATAGCTACTGACCTCAGTAAGGAATGTTTTAATTTTCTCTCCAGAGTAAATAGCGTTAGCAGTTTCTTCCTTTGCCAATTTCATGAGAAAGCTTCTCAACAATCTGTTTTTCTGTGTAAGAAAAGCTGTCAAAATTCCTCTTGAAATAGCTGTGTTCTCCTCGTTTATTTTTGACGTAGGATTATAAATAACACCCAATCGACTATGAACACTTGTTTTCTGCAAAACACATTTATAGGTTAAAAGGACCAGTGTCTTACATACCTTTCTACAGTTGAACATGTTTTCTTCCCCATCAAGGTTGTTCACTTCACCATATCCTTTTATTCACTGTCAAAGTCTGTCTATGCTGAAGGTACTGAACGTGGTACATGGCTGAATCACCCTAACTAAAAAAGTCATGTTAGTAACCTACTGTTTCACCCTTCTGCATAAATACGCCTCTGCATTGCCACATTTTATTTACCTTTTTTTGTGAGTATGTGAAATGGCACATATAAAAATACACAAAAAATACACAGCTCAATGAATTAACCCATCAAATACTATCCAGATGGGGCTAGCAGTTAGTGTAATGGCTATGTCACTGAACTCCCATGTAGTCGACTGCAGTTTGAGTCCCAGACCCGGTGGCTTAAACTCATGCTGGGAGCGTGTGCATGTGTGCCCAGAATCCCGAGAGGAGAAAGGAAGAGAAGGAATTGCGGTGTGGCCATCCTCCCTGGGAGAAGATTTCGTGCTTTCTGTCTGTCTGTCTGTCTGTCTCAGTCTTTCTGGCGAGCGCACGCACCCTATAGCAAAAACTTTCTCAAAAAACCCCAAAAAACAAAAAAAACTATCCAGGCTAGGAGACACAACAATTCCAGCACTCTGAAGGCATCCTCACCATCCTCTCCTGCCAATTACTGTATCCTCCACTTTTCTTTTTCTTTCCTTTTATTTTTTTTTATTTTTAAATTAAGTAGACTTTATTTGGGCAAAGAACGAGTCATGAATTGAGCATACTCAGAACCAGAAAAGATTCAGAGAACTCCACGAAGTACTTATTGAAGATGAGTATTATTTTTTCTTTATTTTTTGTTTGTTTTATATTGCATTTAATCACATATATCTTTACAGTGTATAACATCTTTTTCCCAGCATGATTACCATGCATATTGGTCAAGAAAAAAAATTACTATACACATCTGCAGCAGCAAATAGCTTTCCATTTTCAGATTATCTTTATATATATTTATTATTTTTTAGACATTTGACAATTATATATATTTGGCATGTGAAGAGAATTTACCTAACATGAAATACTTCTCAGACCAGTCTAGTTGAGAATACGATACACATTATCATTAACAGATAATAAACCATTTCTATGTACCACAAATGCCATGCCTATTTTTACTCCTGATTTCTTTATACTGTTCCCTTCTCCCTTTCCCCCATCACATTCCACACAGTCTTCAGCGTCCATAACTATTTTCACTGCTTTTATGTCCTCCAATATTTCAGTCTCTATAATAGAGTATGGATAGTCGGTATATATTAAGTGAAAACATACAGTATCTTTCTTTCATAGCCCAGCTTGCTTCACTCAGTAATAGATCCTCCATATTCAACCACTTTCTATCAAATGCCAGGGCCTTGTTTTTTATGGCTGAATAGTATTCCATAGAGTATATATGTCACACATTTTCAATCCACTGATCTGTTTGTGGACATTTGGGTTGGTTCCATATCTCAGCAATTGTGAATAATACTGCAATAAACATTGATGTGCAAGTGTTTTTCTGACTAAGCATTCTCCAGTCCTTTGGGTAGATACCCAGAAGTGGGACTGCTGGATCAAATGGTAGCTCTATTTGTAGATCTTTGAAGAACTTCCATATTATTCTGGACCAATTTACATTCCCACCAACAGTGCAGGAGAGCTCCCCCTTCACCAGAACCCTGCCAACACATCATTTTGTGTATTTTTAATCTTTGCCATTCTGATGGGTTAGGTGGTATCTCATTGTGGTTTTAATCTACACATCTCCCTTATGATGAGGGATGTTGATGTTTCCTCATATGCTTTTTGGTTGTGTGCATGTCCTCCTTAGAGAGATTTTTGTTCAGCTCATTTTCCCATCTTTTAATTGGGTTAATCATTTAATAGAAGTGATCTGTGTCACGAAGAAGAAATACAATGTGTGACTTTTCAGGCTAGGTTATTTATAAATAATTGTGAGGCTCTGTCTTTAGCTCTTTATTGCTCCAGGAGAAACATGGGTGCATGTTGTGAGGATACTTTAGCAACACCAACAAGTCTATGTCACAACGGAAGAAAGCTTTCTGTTCACACATAGAACAGCCCATGAAGAACTGAGGCCTCCTGTCAACAGGCAGGCAAGGAACCTCTCTTGGAAACTCACCCTCTAGCGTTAGCCAAGCCTCCAGACGATGACAGCCAAAGCCAAAAATAATTTCATAAATTCTTTTAGTTTATGTTTCTTAAGTATTTTCTTTTTAAAAATCTAGACACTTATATGTTCCCTTAGAAATACAGGTTTTAAAAGAGTACTTTAGGGACCAGCAGTTGGCATAATGGCTGTTACTGGACTCCCATGGAGTCAACCACAGTTCGAGTCCCAGACTTGGTGGCTTAAATTCACACTGGGTGTATGTGCATGCATTTCCAAGATCCTGAAAGGAGAATGGAGGAGAAGGGATTGCAGCGTGGCCATCCCCACGGGGGGTGATTTCTCGCTTTCTGTCTTTCTCTGTCTTTCTGGTGAGTGCAAGTGCCCTATAGCAAAAACCTCTACAAGAAAAAAAAAAAAAAGAAGAAGAAAAAAAGAAAAACCACTTTAAATTAAATATAGAACTGTATCTTCCCGAAGTATATTGGTTTGGAATCATATAATAACAAGGAAATTAAAGTTGAAGTAAGGCTTAAGATATTCTTCAGTGAAAGAAATTTATTGTTTTTTCTAAAATAAGCAGGGAGAGAAAGTGTTGCCTAATTATGTGATTAAAAAGAAAACTGTAGGGCCAGCAGGTAGTATGGTGGTTAAGGGGTGCTGGACTCCCACATGCTCAACCATGGTTCAAATCCTGGAACTGGCAGCTTGAAAATCATGACGAATAAATAAATATAAGTAAATGTTTATTTTTTTAAATCCTTTGCATAGACTCAATGTCCCATGCCCTCCAGACTTCTCTAGACTGCTTTCCTCCATTTCCCTCCATTCCATGTTATTCAATTATTTTGTATCCCTCCTGCTTTTCTATTTTTCTATTAACTATTGAGAGAGGAGCATTGAGACTTCAGACTGTAAGTTGGGGATCCATCTATTTCTCCATGCAGTTCTGCTTTTACATCATGTATTTAAAGTATTGTTGTTAGATGCATAACCTAGAATTGTTACGTCCTGTTGATTTATATTTAAACTTGATCATTACTTCCTCTTGTAAATGTATAGTAATCACATTAAATGTTGATGATCTAAATACATCAGTAAAGCCAGAGGCATCAAACAGGGTTAAATAAAGCAAGATTCAAGTGTATGCAGCCTGTCTAAAAATTAGCTTTAAAAAAAAGATACAAGTTAAAGGATGGAAAAATATACAATGTTAACACTAGTCTTTAAAAAGATGGAGTGTCTGGACCTGCCCTGTAGTCTGATGGTTAAGAAAAGCTGAATTCCATACTGCTAGCCATGGTTTGAATCCCATCCCTGCTGTCTTGAAAAAACATGCCCGGTTGGGACCAGGAGGTAGTGTTGAACTCTCACATGCCCAGCCGGAGTTGGAATCCTGGACGTAGGAGCTGGAAAATGACACAAGGCATGTGTACATGCATGCCCAAAATCCTAGGAGAAGAATGGAGGAGAGAAGATATAGGGCATGTGTGCTTGCCAGAAAGACAGAGACAGACAGACAGAAAGTGAGAAGTCATTTCCCAGGAAAATGGCCACACCACAATTCCTTCTCCTCCACTCTCCTCTTGGGATCTTGGGCACGCACACACACGTGCCTGGCCTGAGTTTAAGCCACCAGGTCCGGGACTCAAACCATGGTCAACTACATGGGGGTCCAGCGACTGCCATTAAGCTGACTGCTGGTCCCCAGAGTCATGTTTTAAAAAGATTTACTTCTGTAAGATTGCTCAGAGACTTTCCAAAATACTCGGTAAAAATTCAGAATTTTACCATGGCCTTATTGTACTTGAAATACCTGGGGGTCTCTCTCTGACTTCCCCTATAGTATTTGCCACAGTTCTCAGTCCATTCTGTTCATAATGATTTTCTGTCCATACTTCAGACCTGGCAAGACTGTCTCTGTCTTAGGCTCTGTACCTCTTATGTTCCTGAACCTGGTACACTCTTCAGACTTTCACATGACTTGACCTCACATTTCACTCAGACCTCTGCTTAAATGTAAGCTTTAGACAAAAGTTGACCACGCCACCTAAAATAATATCCTCTTATGCTTTTATATATATCTCCAGTACCACTTATTTTGTCTGTCTTTCACTCTACAATGTAAACTCCACAAGCAACAAGGATTCTATCTGCCTTGGTCATAAATATGTCTCCGTTGTTTGACAGAAAATCAAGAAATAACTTTTGAATGGATTAATATATTTTTCTTTCAGAAGGTCATTGACTTGAACTTCCCCATGCTGACCCCTGTCAGTGAGATACCTGAGGATTATTTACATGATACTTTAATTCCCACTTAAGTTCAGATCCTTAGTACAGTGTCATCAGCTTTACTGATCATGAAGTAGTTAATGAAATATGTGAAATTTCATGTTAACTATTCTATGCAAAGTCATACCATTTCCCATTGCAAGATTAATATTTATTATCCCCAGTTGATTTGACCTATACATTAATGTTTTTGCTAACATGCTATCTCCAGGTACATTAACTTACATTTTTGAAATATGTAACTCATACTTATTTCTAACAAATAGCTACTGACCTCAGTAAGGAATGTTTTAATTTTCTCTCCAGAGTAAATAGCGTTAGCAGTTTCTTCCTTTGCCAATTTCATGAGAAAGCTTCTCAACAATCTGTTTTTCTGTGTAAGAAAAGCTGTCAAAATTCCTCTTGAAATAGCTGTGTTCTCCTCGTTTATTTTTGACGTAGGATTATAAATAACACCCAATCGACTATGAACACTTGTTTTCTGCAAAACACATTTATAGGTTAAAAGGACCAGTGTCTTACATACCTTTCTACAGTTGAACATGTTTTCTTCCCCATCAAGGTTGTTCACTTCACCATATCCTTTTATTCACTGTCAAAGTCTGTCTATGCTGAAGGTACTGAACGTGGTACATGGCTGAATCACCCTAACTAAAAAAGTCATGTTAGTAACCTACTGTTTCACCCTTCTGCATAAATACGCCTCTGCATTGCCACATTTTATTTACCTTTTTTTGTGAGTATGTGAAATGGCACATATAAAAATACACAAAAAATACACAGCTCAATGAATTAACCCATCAAATACTATCCAGATGGGGCTAGCAGTTAGTGTAATGGCTATGTCACTGAACTCCCATGTAGTCGACTGCAGTTTGAGTCCCAGACCCGGTGGCTTAAACTCATGCTGGGAGCGTGTGCACGTGTGCCCAGAATCCCGAGAGGAGAAAGGAAGAGAAGGAATTGCGGTGTGGCCATCCTCCCTGGGAGAAGATTTCGTGCTTTCTGTCTGTCTGTCTGTCTGTCTCAGTCTTTCTGGCGAGCGCACGCACCCTATAGCAAAAACTTTCTCAAAAAACCCCAAAAAACAAAAAAAACTATCCAGGCTAGGAGACACAACAATTCCAGCACTCTGAAAGCATCCTCACCATCCTCTCCTGCCAATTACTCTATCCTCCACTTTTCTTTTTCTTTCCTTTTATTTTTTTTTATTTTTAAATTAAGTAGACTTTATTTGGGCAAAGAACGAGTCATGAATTGAGCATACTCAGAACCAGAAAAGATTCAGAGAACTCCACGAAGTACTTATTGAAGATGAGTATTATTTTTTCTTTATTTTTTGTTTGTTTTATATTGCATTTAATCACATATATCTTTACAGTGTATAACATCTTTTTCCCAGCATGATTACCATGCATATTGGTCAAGAAAAAAAATTACTATACACATCTGCAGCAGCAAATAGCTTTCCATTTTCAGATTATCTTTATATATATTTATTATTTTTTAGACATTTGACAATTATATATATTTGGCATGTGAAGAGAATTTACCTAACATGAAATACTTCTCAGACCAGTCTAGTTGAGAATACGATACACATTATCATTAACAGATAATAAACCATTTCTATGTACCACAAATGCCATGCCTATTTTTACTCCTGATTTCTTTATACTGTTCCCTTCTCCCTTTCCCCCATCACATTCCACACAGTCTTCAGCGTCCATAACTATTTTCACTGCTTTTATGTCCTCCAATATTTCAGTCTCTATAATAGAGTATGGATAGTCGGTATATATTAAGTGAAAACATACAGTATCTTTCTTTCATAGCCCAGCTTGCTTCACTCAGTAATAGATCCTCCATATTCAACCACTTTCTATCAAATGCCAGGGCCTTGTTTTTTATGGCTGAATAGTATTCCATAGAGTATATATGTCACACATTTTCAATCCACTGATCTGTTTGTGGACATTTGGGTTGGTTCCATATCTCAGCAATTGTGAATAATACTGCAATAAACATTGATGTGCAAGTGTTTTTCTGACTAAGCATTCTCCAGTCCTTTGGGTAGATACCCAGAAGTGGGACTGCTGGATCAAATGGTAGCTCTATTTGTAGATCTTTGAAGAACTTCCATATTATTCTGGACCAATTTACATTCCCACCAACAGTGCAGGAGAGCTCCCCCTTCACCAGAACCCTGCCAACACATCATTTTGTGTATTTTTAATCTTTGCCATTCTGATGGGTTAGGTGGTATCTCATTGTGGTTTTAATCTACACATCTCCCTTATGATGAGGGATGTTGATGTTTCCTCATATGCTTTTTGGTTGTGTGCATGTCCTCCTTAGAGAGATTTTTGTTCAGCTCATTTTCCCATCTTTTAATTGGGTTAATCATTTAATAGAAGTGATCTGTGTCACGAAGAAGAAATACAATGTGTGACTTTTCAGGCTAGGTTATTTATAAATAATTGTGAGGCTCTGTCTTTAGCTCTTTATTGCTCCAGGAGAAACATGGGTGCATGTTGTGAGGATACTTTAGCAACACCAACAAGTCTATGTCACAACGGAAGAAAGCTTTCTGTTCACACATAGAACAGCCCATGAAGAACTGAGGCCTCCTGTCAACAGGCAGGCAAGGAACCTCTCTTGGAAACTCACCCTCTAGCGTTAGCCAAGCCTCCAGACGATGACAGCCAAAGCCAAAAATAATTTCATAAATTCTTTTAGTTTATGTTTCTTAAGTATTTTCTTTTTAAAAATCTAGACACTTATATGTTCCCTTAGAAATACAGGTTTTAAAAGAGTACTTTAGGGACCAGCAGTTGGCATAATGGCTGTTACTGGACTCCCATGGAGTCAACCACAGTTCGAGTCCCAGACTTGGTGGCTTAAATTCACACTGGGTGTATGTGCATGCATTTCCAAGATCCTGAAAGGAGAATGGAGGAGAAGGGATTGCAGCGTGGCCATCCCCACGGGGGGTGATTTCTCGCTTTCTGTCTTTCTCTGTCTTTCTGGTGAGTGCAAGTGCCCTATAGCAAAAACCTCTACAAGAAAAAAAAAAAAAAGAAGAAGAAAAAAAAAAAAACCACTTTAAATTAAATATAGAACTGTATCTTCCCGAAGTATATTGGTTTGGAATCATATAATAACAAGGAAATTAAAGTTGAAGTAAGGCTTAAGATATTCTTCAGTGAAAGAAATTTATTGTTTTTTCTAAAATAAGCAGGGAGAGAAAGTGTTGCCTAATTATGTGATTAAAAAGAAAACTGTAGGGCCAGCAGGTAGTATGGTGGTTAAGGGGTGCTGGACTCCCACATGCTCAACCATGGTTCAAATCCTGGAACTGGCAGCTTACCTTTTTACCCCTCCCCCGACTCTGTTCCTCTCTAGTCAAATTAAAATAAATAAATAAATGAAGTTAAATACAATGATTTAAAAAAAAATGCTAGTACTAGGTATTGTGGGTTAAAAGTATATTTGGAGTCACTGATATAATGCCGCTTCTAGAGTCATTTACTTTGCTTTAATAAGCTACTTATAACCATTAAGGCATATATCTGTATTGACCATAAGGCTACTAGAGAAAACACAGTCATGAATCAGAAGAAAGGTCAGTTTTTGTTCTTCTTTTACTGGTCAAAATAACCTGTTTTATAAGGAGCTAAATTCAAATTCCTGCCTTAAGTCTCCTTAGCACCATGTCCTAATTAAGTTCATTGTAATAGAATGTTAACATGGAGGGGAAATAAAGATTGAATGTCTGTTGTTGTCATAAAATTGTAACAAATAAAAAATTTCGTAGTAAGACTATCTAGATACTCACCATGTGCTTTAGTGCTTTATAAAGCAATTCTCTTCCAGACGGCTTATCAAAATCAGCAATAATCCAGAGAGTGACTGCAGAAATTACATCATCTGAAAGTTTCAAATAGTCAATTAATTAAAAAACAACAACAACAACAACAACAATCTGGGGCTGGCACTGTAGTGCAGTGGTTAAGTACAGTGCAAGTAAAACCAGATCCCACATGGCCGACCGCAGTTGAGAGCCCTGACCCAGACAGCGTGATAGAGGCAGGACGTGCACTTGTGTGCTCAAGATCCTGATGTTGGGAAGGCACGAGAGAACACTGAAGCATGACTATGCTTCACTGGGGAAGGGGGTGCTTTCTCACTCTCTCAGGGAAGCACATATGCCCTCTGACAATCTAAATAAATATATAAATTTGAAAGTAGAGGAACAGTTTTTAGTTAACAAAAAATTAAAAATTAAAAACTAATATTTTCGAAAAAGCAAACAGTGCTAAAAATTACATGTGTATGTAATATACACATATTTACATGCATTTATACAAACATCCACAAAAAAATGCTAGAGAGGTAATTTATTGTATAGGTTTTCTATAAAATCAGATACCAAAAAGAAAGAATAGTTCCAAAGGAACACAGCTGTGGGATAATTTTATCGGTAGGGAAAAATGTATTAAGGATCCATGCATACTTCAGGAAGAAACATGAAGATACATTAGTAACCACAACTGCCTTCTAGTTACATTTATTTAAAATATTTATATTCCACATATATGTTAAACCAGATACAATCAAGCTTAATAGTAAATATTAAAAACAGCTATATTTTATCATCTTACAATTATTTCAAAACGTTTGCCAATTGTTAACTTAGTCTAATTCATATATCTTTCCCATTAAAAATCATATACTTGTAAGACATTTTATGTCTCCACTTAATATGTACTGACTGTCCACACTCTATGACAGAAAATGAAAGATCAGTGGATACAGAATAATGGAAAATAGTTATAGATACTGGAGATAGTATGAGAAGAGGGTGGGAGATGGAGGAGAGTGACAGGAAAGGAATCAAGGAGAAAAACAGAGAGGCAAGACATTTAAGAGACACAGAAATGGCGGATTGTCTGTTGATGATAATGTGTATGATATCTTCAGGTGGACTGGTATGAAGTGTATTCATGTTGGATAATTCATTTTACAAGCTGTAGTGATGTACAAAATAGTGTTTGAATGTGTAAAATAAATTTAAAAAATTAAAAAAAAATAAAATAAAGTACAACCAAAAAAAATCATACAATTCTCTTTTTAGAAAAATTTGAAAATCTGGAATCCATAGGAAGAAGCCATTTTTAGTTTTGAAGTCATAAACTGGTTTGATTTTGTAGAGTTTTTGTACCTTACCCCTGACATGTAATCTATCATTAAAATTTACAGAAAAACTGATCTTTTAGACCACATGACCAATGTAAAACAAGTGTAAAAAGTTTTCTAAACCAAAATATACCTTGAATAGATTTGAAACGATAGTTCTTACCATAGTCGACTACCTAATACACAAAAATAGGCCTTAATGAATGAAAGAAATGTACCAAAAAAAAAAAAAGGTAGCATTTATTTCCACCTGCAACTTCAAAGCAACCTACAAGTAAGGCAGTAACACATTCCTTTCAAAGAAGAAAAGTAAAGAATTCCTATACCTTAATCTCAGCACTTCACCGTCACAGGTAGTAAACTGAGAAATATTTTGGAAGTGCTAAGTAAAAAACTCTGTTACTTCTTGAGAAGAAGCCACGGGCCTTCAGGACAAGGTTCCACATGGCTACAGTGAACTAGATTTTTAAGGGAATGAAGATTTTCTACTAATAATTCAGCCTCCAACAAACTGTCTGCTTGCTCCTTAACATTAAGGCTGAACCTCCAGAATTTGAAAGAAAACACAACATTCATCAGATGACAAGAAATCACCGCCGGATCACGAGAAACATGGGAAAACAAGAAAATACCTCTCCTCCTAGGGAAAAGAGTAACTCTTCATCCACAAGCAGTTCGGTGAAAATCATGGAAATGTCTGATAAGGAATTCAGATCATTCATAATGTCTAAGCTAACAGAGATGGAAGAGAAGAGAGATAATGAACTGCTAAAGAGAAAGGAGAAAGAAATTGACGAGTTCCAAGAGATGAGGAAATTCCTGCAAGATCTAAAAGTGGAATTACACACTTTACAAAAGACTCAAACGGAACTGCTAGAGATGAAGTCTATAATACAAGAAGTAAAATTCTCCCTGGAAAGTATTAAAAGCAGACTAGATCATTCAGAAAATAGAATCTCAGATGTAGAGGAGAAAATGGCTGGCCTAGAAAAATCCACCATGAAGACTGAGAAAATGGCCCAAAAATTGGAGAATAATATGCGAGAAGTACTGGATACTATCAAACGTCCAAATATCCGGATAATTGGCATTCCAGAAGGTGAGGAAACCCATAAGGGCATTGATAATCTATTCCATGAAATCCTGCAAGAAAACTTTCCAAACCTAGAGAGGCATTCGAAGATCCAGTCCCAGGAAATACAAAGGACCCCAAATAGAATCAACCCAAGAAGATCTTCTCCAAGACACATTATAGCCAGGTTGACCAAAACTGCAGACAAAGACAAGATACTAAGATTAGCAAGAGAAAAACAGCAAGTTACCTACAAAGGACATCCCATCAGGCTAACAGCAGATCTCTCATCGGAAACAATAAAAGCGAGGAGAGAATGGGAAAATATATTCCAAGTGTTAAGAGAGAAGCAGTTTCAGCCAAGAATACTGTATCCGGCAAGATTATCTTTCAGGTGGGAAGAAAAGACAAGAACATTCTCAGATAAACAAAACCTGAAAGAATTTACCAGCACCAGACCAGACCTCCAAGAAGTTCTCAAGGATGTGCTGTATCAGGAAAACTAAACGCAGATACATGGAAATAAGAGTCCAAAAACTGAGAAAGTAGCTAACTTAATCATAGGGACAAGTCTGGAGTTGAATACTATATCCCAGAATTTAATCAGGAAAATTGAACCAGAACAGAAGATAAAAGTATATGAGACTGATAGGTTCATGCACCTACCATTTGAACAGAATCCTAACCTGTTTCCGGGCTTTAAGCAAAGTTCCTTGGCGGTTCTTTGATTTAAGTTAAAACTGGTTTTCTTAGTAGTAACGAGGGAACTCACCTTTGAAAGTAGTCAGGTTATGTAGGAAATTGTGTGATCAATGCAATGTGGGTGGGAAGGGAATGGAGGACAATTTTGGACACTAGAGGTGGTGTTGTGCTGTGATGATGCTTAGGGAAGGAATGTAAATTGAGTTACAAAAAATAGTTTCAGGAAAAAGAAATATATCTATTCAATGACTGCAGTAGGATATGTAGCCCCAGTTAGGTGCTACTTTATAGGATGCGTAAAGTTAGACTTGTGTTCATGGAAATGTGTGTGTCACATGTGTTTGCTAGGAGGGCATTTGGATTGATTAGGGTCTTTGGTGATTCAATAAAATGTGGGGGGAAAATGGTATAGAAACCAAACATAGATAACAGAGAAAGTGTGGGAGGAGAACAGGAGGTGGCAGAGGGTAAGAGAGAGGGAACCAAGGATAGGGGGAATATAGAAAACAAGAAATGGAAGATCATTTGCTAAGAATAACATATTTGTTGATGTGCCTGATTGAGACAATATACAGTGTACTCTAGATGGAAAATCTCATTTTGTATGCTGTATTGATGTACAGTGAATGAATGCAAATAAATAAATTGGGAAAAAAAAAGATATTGAATGCTGAAGTGGGGAGATTAATGTCTCTGTATTGACTGACATGCATGGCATTCCCTTTTGAAAAAGCAATGTAATACACTGTAAGATTATATGCAATTCAATGTACTATAAACAAGATTATGATGATAATAAAAAATAAATAAAAATTTAAAAAAGGAAGAAAAACCTGTTACTTCTTTACACTTTCACATAAATGCAAGTAAGAAGAAATCAGATTATCAGTTAATATTCTTTTAAATTTCAAGGCATTTTGTCAAAGAGCATTAATTATAGGCTAACTTACTGATACCCAGAGTTTTCTTTTGAAAGACAACCCAGAAACTGAAAAACACATTTCTATTTTCCTTCCCTCTCTACTTTTTTTTGGTTTGTTTCTTCTTCTGAGAGAGAGAGAGGGGGAGATTGAGAGAGAGAGAGAGATCACATGAGCTCTCATGAGATCATGACACGACTTAAAGGCTCCGCCAGCCCCGGATCACGGAAAGTGTGTGTTGGGTGTGTTCAGGGAGGTCTCTGGACTTGAAGCAGAAGCGTGGGACTGCCTCTCAGAGCATCTTGTTTTACCACCATGCCACCATCTGGCCCCTATCTCCTTTTACCTTCGCTTGACACTGAGTGCCACAGCCAGCCATAAGAATAAATTATTATTTTTTTATTTGCTGGATTTCTTATAGATGGACTCCTTTATGAACATAAAATCGTGGAATCTGTTAGAAATCCAGGAGTCACCTGGTGGAAACTTGTATTCAAGCTACAGAATTTTCAAAAACTCATTGTATAAATCTCTCTCATATATAAAAGTTAAATTTATATAATTATATTTTATTCCATCTTTTAATCACTTTTACTGTTGAAAAACAATCACTTAGGCACCAAGACCAAAATTAGTCTCCTTATATTTTTTCCTACTGACTCTCATTTTTGTCTCTAGAGCAAAGCAAGACCAACAAAACAAAGCAAAACAAAAATCAACCAAATTCTTATGATCTTCATCTATGAAACAGGTAACTACACCCTAACAAATCTGTGGCCCCACTGCAGACTCTGTTCAGGCCACATCCTTACTTCTAAATGTGTTACTACCTTGGTCTCACCGCCTTTGGTCATGATGCCCAACCTAAGCAGAACACCTAGGTGTTTTTAATCAGAATACAAAAGTACTATCATTTCCTCTGACCTGAAAATTGTATCTGTTCATGCAGCTTAAGATATTAGTTTATATAGTCTTGAAAAGGCCTTGTCAGAAGAAGCCACGGGCCTTCAGGATAAGGTTCCACATGGCTACTGTGAACTAGATTTTTAAGGGAATGAAGACTTTCTACTAATAATTCAGCCTCCAACAAAAGAGCTAGCGGCAGAAGAAGCCACGGGCCTTCAGGATAAGGTTCCACATCAGGTGCACGTGTGCCCAAAATCCGGAGGGGAAAATAGAGAAGGGATTACAGTGTAGCCATTCCCTCTGGGGGGGGTGACTTCTTGCTTTCTGTCTCTCTGTCTCTGTCTCTCTGACAAGTGCACACATCCTATAGGAAAAAAAAATCTCTCTAAAAAAAAGGTGAAATGGAATTGCTTATTTTACAAAAATAAAATCAAAAAAGGAAAATTAATTCCTTCTGCATATATGGTGAGTTAGGACAAAAGACATTTTCTCAGTATAATTTTTTACTTCTAACAAGTTATAAGCTCTAATTGAAACACAGGCCTCTAATCAAAATAGCAACATATTGAAACATATTATGCAACCAGTTTATTAAATTTATAGGGAATAAATTCTAGAAAGAAAGTATGCTTATTACCTTCTTGGGTTAGATAATACATGCTGTTTGCAATTACAGCGCTCTTATCTTGTGAATCCAAGAAAAAGAAAGTAGAGAAATCTTCAACATCAGCAGTTACTGAAAAATTTCATATTAAATGTTAAATAATAAATTAACAAAGCATTTTCAACTCAATAAGCCCTTTTAGAATAGTATAAGGAGAATTATTTTACCTGATGTAGAAATTAAATTAAGATACTCCTGTTCAGTGCTCAAAAGCAAAGAATTTATACGGGGTACAACATTATTCTTATCCATTAAAAAATCAATTGCATTCACTCGATCATTTAATGTGCCCTAAAATGACAAAAATATTATATAGATAACATATATTTTAAATAATTATTTTATTTAACTTATTTATTTATTTATTTATTTTCCCTTGACCAGAGAGGGACAGAGAGAGAGAGAAACAGAAAGTGAGAAAGCAAGTTGCCAGGACCAGGACTTGAACCATGGTCAGCCATGTCGAAGTTCAGCGCCCTTAACCACCAGGCCAACTGCTGGCCCCCCTATAGATAATATATTAATAGACAATATATGTATATGTTTTAAAATTATGCATATAATACATTTAAAATTATTTAATCTAAAATATTAAAGTAGCAACCAATTTAAGATACTTGTGGTAATTTTTTTTTTCTTTTTTACAAAATTTAAGCAATTTGGGGTCAGTCTGTGGCAGGGTGGTTAGGGTGGCTGGATTCCACATGGCCAACATGGTTTGAGTTCTGGACCTGGTAGTTTGGAAAAACATGTTGGGTGCATGTGTATGCATGCTGAAAATCTTGAAAGGAGGGAGAAATGGAGGGGATGGGATTGTGGAATGACCATGGCCCATGGGGAGGTTGCTTTCTCACTTTCCCTCTGACTCTGCACCTCTCTCCAGTGAATGCATGTGTCCTCTGACTAAATAAAAATAAATAACTGAATAAGCAATTTTTATATATAGTTATATATAAGGTAAATTTAATTATTACTTTAAAACTATTATTACATGATTAGGATGAAATTTTTTTTACCAAAGTCGCTTTACCCATTAAGAATAATTTTTAATGAAAAATTACCAGTCGTAAATACTATTCATCATATATTTTCTCATAAATGCTTACACTACCATGAACACTTCTTTTTGCCAATGTATAGATGCATCCAACATCTTCTGAAGAATAGCCATTTGTAGTTCTTCGGTAGTCATCTCTTCAAGGCTAAAGGGTTCACCATTATAAAGAGCTTGTGGCAAAAGATCCAGGCCAGTCATCTCATAAAAGCTTGCTCCAGCCTGTTTGGTTAAAAAATATCAAAGTGTTAAACAAAATAAGAGTGCTTGAAAAGTAAATATTTAAGAAAAAGAACGGGTGTTCTGGATGGTGGGAGAGCAGTAAAACACAATCATCTGAAAGGCTGATCCACAGAGGAAGATTCCGGTTTATGCCTCGAACTTCAAGGAGTACACAGGACATGTGTGTGCTCATCACCTGAGACTGTCCAAAGCTGGGTCATGACATCCCCCATATTGGGGGTGCAGTTTCCATTTCCTTCTCTGTTTCTCTTGTTCATAGAATTAAAAACAACTAAAAACAAAAATAAAAAAGGGAAAGATGGTGCCATATTTCCACACAGCAGAGAAAAAAATGACAATGCTGCAATTTTATCTGTCCTTCCCATTTGCCATTTAGAGAAAAGTAATTTACCTACATAGAGCAGGAATCAGAAAACTTTTTCCATAAGAGCCAGACAGTAAATCTTTTAGGCTCTGTGAGCCATCCAGTCTTTCCTGCAATAATTCAACTCCGATGTTGTGGCAGAAAAGCAGTCATAGACAACACAGGAATGAATGGGCACTGCCTCTCCAAATACCTTATCTTCAAAAACAAGCAGTGGTGGGCTTGCCAACCCTCTATATTAACTATGACACTTAAAAAAATAAAAACAAAACATTTATCTGCATTACGTCTTAATTATCCCTGTATTCCTTCATTCAATAAACACATATGGATCATATCACCAGCATAAGGCTAGGCTCTATGGAAACAGAGCTAAAAGTCATCTCTCAAGGGGTTCACATTAATCCAGACACAATAGTGGCACATACAGAGTGTTAAACAAAATAAGAGTGCTTGAAAAGTAAATATTTAAGAAAAAGAACGGGTGTTCTGGACGGTGGGAGAGCAGTAAAACACAATCATCTGAAAGGCTGATCCACAGGGGTCCAGAAAAGAAGCATCGAAACAGCTTGAGTGTGGAGATGGACGGAGCAAAGAAAGCTTCTATTAAGGACTGACACAGAAAGCCTTAAAGGATGAATCAAAATTTGCTAGGTAGATAAAATGGAGGAAGACATTCCAGGAGAAAAGATAATAAAGTTAGGGCTGGAAGGAGAGCTGTAATGTATAATAGTGTATTTAGGTAATAGCAAGTAAGTTTGCTATATTTATGGGGTGTGATATCTGGGCAAGAGTTGTCAGATATGGGGTCTGAGACCTTTACGCAGATCATGAAGGTCTTCAATATTTAGATTTTATCTTTAAGTGATAAGGAGTCACTAAACAATCTATTAATTTGATATTCAGTATTAAGTATTATGATTATTTTCATAGTCAATACTGTCATAAGTGCTCTAGGAATCTTAAGTATTAACGATTACATCTATTTTAAGATGATTAAACAGATACAGTGAGCTTAAATCCCTTCCAATGTTACATGGCTACTATGTTTTAGAACCAAAATTTGTATCCAGATCTGTCAGAGTCTGAATTCACTCTCTCTCTTCCTTCCTTCCTTCCTTCCTTCCTTCCTTCCTTCCTTCCTTCCTTCCTACCTTCCTACCTTCCTTCCTTCCTTCCTTCCTTCCTTTTTCTTTTCTGTTGGGCACATGCACTCACTGGAGAGACAGAGATACAGAAAGCAAGAAATCACCCCACCAGGAAAGATGGCCACACCACAGTCCCCTCTCCTCCATTCTCCTCTCAGGATTTTGGGCAAATAAGCACATAAACCCAGTGTGAATTTCAAGCTGCTAGTCCAGGAGTCAAACTTCCATTGGCCACATGGGATTCCAGCACCTTAACCATTATGCCACCTGCTGGCCCTGAATCTGAATTCTTAACTACTGTACTCTCTCTACATTAATTAGGCACCTACTCTATGATAGCGTATGAATGCATGCAAATAATATGCGAACTCTATCTTTGAGAAACATATAGTTTAACAGAGGGAGAGCGAAATGCATTGAAAACAATATAGAATCCAAGGGGACATCAGGGAGATCACAGTCAATTCTACTTAGGAGGAGGATTCATAACAAATAAGTGATCAGATTTGGTTATTTTAAAAGGAACATGATGGCAACACGGAAAGGAAGAGGAAACACTGGGAACATTGAGAGCAGGAGGTGACTGTAGTAGTAAGGGGAAGAATAAGCAACAGCCAGAACAAAAAAATCCAGTGGTAATGGGCAAGAAGAAAACGAGGCAGTTTTCTGAAATATTTAACATGTGGCAGTCCCAGACCCTGATGACATATTGTTAGGGAGGGGTGAGGGAAACACAGCAGTTCAGGATGACTATCAGGCTTCTACCATAGGCAGTCTGGACTAATAGTGATGTTTTCTACCCCCTAGGTTAGGACACAAAGGTAAAAAAGTTCAAGTTAATGAGAAAGATGATAGGCTTGGTTTTAGATTCTTTTCACTTAAGTTGCTCATGGGGCAACTCATTAGATAGTTGAATACATGAGTTTGGATTTGAGGAAAGGTCTGAACGAATTACAGTGAGTAAGTTCATGACACAGAATTCTGTGCTTTTGGCCTGCACCTCTCTTCTCGGCAACAGAATATACACTCGATTGCTTATTTCACTTCTGCTCTGGAACTCACAGGTTCTTCATGCCTTTATGTGACAAACTGAGCTTTTCATCTGTCTCCCCATAGGATCATGGCTCTCCTGGGTGGCCATTCAACTGAACAGTGGAAATCATCCTTGACAATTTCTCATCTCCCTTCTAACCTGTCCAGCCCAGCATCAGGTTTTGGGTGCTACTTTCTAAATTATGCAAGTGTGTCTGTATTCCTCTACCTCTAATCCTTCCAAAGAATTTTACCTCTGTGTTTCCTCATATATATCACCACACTCTCTCTTACCTTCCAACAATTCATTCCCAGCCATGAAGAGTGCACTTTTAAAAATGTATGTCATTGTCACTTCACTGCTTCATACATTTTAGGTTTTTCCCTGATGTCAAGGTGTTCTGAGTTTATACTGAAAATTGTTCACAAGACCCGAGGCAATCGGGCCCCTCACTTACCTTCCCAGACTCATCTCCCAAGCTTTCCCCATAACAAAACACGGTACGTGTTTGTGATCTGGACTGGAGCAACGCTGGCTTCTCTCAGTTCCTTCATATCAGGATCCTTTGACATCTGTCTGTCTGGAATGTTAATGGCTTATCATCTCCTTGCTTTCTTTTGTCTAACTCTTCCTCCTATTTGGGATTCAACTTAAACACCACTTCCTCAAAAGTGTTCCTCAGCCCCATGTCCCAGAGTGGTCCTCTAACATTTAACCTGCTGTTTATCTGGGGGGGGGTCCCTTCTAATGAAGTCATGTCCATGCATTTTGGAAATTTCTTTTGTGCTTTTTCTCTTTCTCTTTGGGAAATTCTTCATGTTCTTACCTTTGTTTTTTGTATTCTTTCTGCATCTTCCAGGTTAAGTCTCTGATTTTTTTTTTTTTTTTTTTTTTTAGTTAACAAGTAAAATTAATGTATATTTATGGTGTACAACAGGATTTTTTTTTTTTTTGAAAAGTATATACATTGCAGAATGGCTAAATCAAGCTAATTAACATATGTATTACCTGAAAGACTTAAAATTTTTTCGAGTATATAGTGGGAACCCTCAAAATCTACTTTTGATAATTTCCAAGTATACACTTTTTCCTTTAAGGTTTTTGCCATGGGGCACACGCGCTCAGGGGTAGAGAGAGACAGTGAGAAAGAAAGTGAGAAATCACTTCCTGGAAGGACAGCCACACCACAATCCTCCATTTTCCTCCTGGGATTTTGGGCATGTAAGCACACACGACCACTGTGATCTTCAGGCTGCCAGGTCTGGGACTCAAATTGCAGCCAGCCATGTGGAAATTCAGCACTTTAACCACCACATCACCTGCTGACCCCTAATATACTATTTTAAACTATAGTTATCATGCTGTATAATAGTTCCTATGAACTTATTCCTTTGGCTTAACTGAAATTTTGTATCCTTGATCAACATCTCTCTAATCCCCTTACTCCTATCCTAGTCTTTGGTAACCACCATTTTACTCTGTTTCTGAGTTCCACTGTTTTAGATTCTACATATAAATGACATCACATGGTGTTTGTTTTTCTTTTTCTTTTTTTTCCAGAGAGGTTTTTGCTATAGGGCGCGTGCGCTCACCAGACAGAGAGAGACAGAGAGACAGAAAGCGCGAAATCACTTCCCATCCATTCTCCTCTCGGGATCTTGGGCACGCACGCACACGCGCCCAGCATGAGTTTAAGCCACCAGGTCCGGGACTTGAACCGCGATCAACTACGTGGGAGTCCAGCGACATAGCCATTACACTAACTGCTGGTCCCTGGTGTTTGTTTTTCTGCCTTGACTTCACTTAGCATCATGTTCCAACTTACCTTTCTTTCTGCATCATATTTAGAATGAATTCCCAAAACATCCAAAATGTTAGCATGAGGAAATTCATTTTGGAGTACAGCCTTCACGTTGTCCACAGTGAGTATATTTTGATCATCCACTAGTTTGTACATCTATGGAAATAGATGTTATAATTAATCTTCCTCTTACAGCAACTAGTTTTCTTTCTGTTAGCATGCTGATAGACTTGACATACACATACTATATACCGGCAAATCATTTTAACTATACAATATATGATCTTCTAATATAAGTACACTTTAAAATATTCTGTAGCTTTAAAAAATATAACAAATTTATGTTTTATTCTATTCTATTTTGACATTGTGGTTCTGAATAAGATAATGTTGTGTAAATATATCCTTTCTTTAAAAGGAGATACATATGGGTGTGTGTGTGAGTGTGTATATGTGTATGTATCCATATGTATTTTTAAGTGGCTTGTTTCAGAAACACTTTGTTTTCTTTTTTTGTTCCTCTTCAGTAACTACTTTGTCTAAATTTTCTCTGCATGTTCATGTTCACTTTCCCCATAAACACACATGCAGAATGTAAGCTATTAGCTCTCTAATGTTTTATTCATTTCTTCCTTCCCCTGCCCGTTTTTACCAGAAGGTATGTCTACTCACTGGAGAGCTAGAGGGAAAGTGAGAAATCATCTCCCATGGGGAATGGCCACAACACAACTTCTTCCCCTCTACTTCTCCCTACTTTCAGTATTTTGGGCATGCATGCACATACACCCGGCTCAGGTTGCCAGGTCTGGGACTTGAACACACAGTCAACTCTGTGGGATCCAGCTGCCTTAACCACCATGCCAGGGACTGACTGATCCTCATTTCTCTCTGTAATAAGGAGCTATAGTTTTTTTTAGTATAAGACCTAGGTGTTACTCTGGGTACTGCATTGAGAGAAGGCATCTCAGATCAGATAACTGAGCTAAGATATAAATGTGAACTTTGAGCTAGCACTAAGACTCTTCATGGAATACAATCTTACAAACAGAAATAAAACCTAATAAGTACAAAAGCCATTAGGCAACATTCTGATATATCAATTAAGAATATTGTTTTTACACCCCATTCACTTCAATCATTATTGCCAGAGGCAACGTTCATATTATAGCAGACAGGGTCCCAATAATATATTCCTCATAGTAAGGAATTAATAATCTCTCTTCTCCTTTTATTACCATAAACTTTAAACCTACTCTTTTTTTTAGATTTATGTCAAAATATGACTTAAGTCATAACTTATTATTTTAAAAGACACAGGTCTACTATTGGATAGCAGAGTTTAGTTTTATGAGGTGCTTGTTTTAAGGGAAGTTTTCTCATATCAAAGTAGAACATACTGTGGGCATAATAATTTTTTAAAAGTAAAAAATACAGCCTTCTGCAAAAGAAATGAAAATTCTCAAAGTCAGATTTTGCATAGAGCAGAAGTTATATATGAAAAATGATTGAGAGTGGTCATTTTGCAAGCCAGTCATTTGAAAATGCTAGATACTTTTGTAAAATAAGATGAAATGTTTCACAGAAGGTACTCAGATAAGAACTCAATAGTCAATGTATACTGAATATAACATCTTAATAATCTTTTATATTTTTAAACTTTTAAAAACAATTCTTTATTTAACTTTATTTAACATTATTCTTCAGTTTGCTACAGGGCATGTGCATTCACCAGAGGGAGAAAGGAAAGTGAGAAGGTAAGAAAGTAAGATTTGGGTTCTGAACCTCGGTTGGCCATGTGGGAGTTCAGCGCCTTAACTACTATGCTACCTCCTGGCCCCATTGTTTCACAGTCTTATACATTTCTTAATTTTAAAATCCTTATGTAACTGTTAAGCATAAAGGAATATAACACACACTATGAGGCATAAAAAGAAAATCAACCATTCCTATGAAAAAATCTCCTAAGATAAGAAATGGAACAACACTGATACTGTGAAGTACTTTTCTCCTGACTCCATTGCCCAGTGCCCCCAGATGCAAGCATTATCTTGAATTTCCATTGTCTTGAATTTCATTCCCTTACCAGAGTTTTGTCTCAATGTATTCCCATGTATTATGCTTTTTCTTGTTTACTTTTGAGCTTTATAAAGTACAGGATAATGTTAGTCTTCTATGACTTCATTCTTTTTATAATATAGCTATGCTTGTGTGTATGATATCAATGCCATTATATGACTATATTGAATTTTACTTATCTGTTTTGCTACTGATATGTGTTTGGGTTATTTCTGGTTTGTTGCTATTCTGAATTATTCTCCCAAAAACAGTTTCTAAGGTACAACTGGTACAAGAGTTTCTCTTAGGGTGTACATGTCATGTGTGTGAGCAGGGAATATAGAAATATAACTTCAAATTGTAAGGTACTACCAGGTTGTTTTCAATGTGGTTATGCCAATTTCTATTCCTACAAGTATGACAGCTATGTAAAGGCATTCTATTGTCCTACATTCTTCTTTTCTAAAAAATAATTATTTAATTTGATTATTATTTTTTAATTTGCAATAGGCATGCATGCTTGCCAGAGAGAGACAGGGGGAGGCAAGGTAAGAAGATGCCCGGTCCAGGACTCGAACCACAGTCAGCCATGTGGGAGTCTAGCACCTTAACCACCATGTCACCTACTGGCCCCAACCTTGACATTCTTATTAACCATGTTATCAGCTTTCTTAATCATTGCCAAATTATAGGGTATAAAATAGTTTAATGGTAGCAGTCCTTATTTACATTTTTCCTGATTTCTAAGATAATAATCTTATCAGTTATAACAAATATTTATTTACAACCAATAATGTCAATATATTTTTTCCCATATTTTTACTATAGGGTGCATGTGCTACCTGGAGAGAGGCAAGAAGAGACAGAGAGAGGAGAAAGAAAGTTAGAAATTACCTCCCACTCCAGAGGGCATGGCCATACTACAATTCCTTCTTCTCCATTCTCTTGGGATTTGGGGCAAACACATACACATGCCCAGCATGAGTTTCAAGTCGCTAGGTCTGGGACTCATACAGCAGTCGACTATGTGAGAGTCCACTGCCTTAAACACCATACTGCCTGCTGGCCCCAATGTCAATATATTTTATTTATTTCCATTTAAAAAATCTTCGTTTGCATTGCTTCTCCTAGCTTGTACTTTTCTCTGATTTATAGAGCATCATCACAACTCATGGAATACAAATACTTTTTGGTAACATGTATTGCAAATGTTTCTCTTGACAGGAACTTAATTTCTCCTACTTTTTTTTATGGCATCTTTTAATGAACATTGATTTCTGCTTGTAATATAGCTAAATTTATCAATATTTTCTTTCGGGCTCAGGATTTTCAAGTTTTATTTAGAAAATTCTTACCTTGGGGTACTAATTTCGTCCAGAGGTTTTTCACATTTTACAATAATTGAAATGATTTTTTTTTTTATTTTGGAGAGGTTTTTGCTATAGGGTGCATGCACTCACCAGAAGACAGAGACAGAAAGCGAGAAATCACCCCCGAAGGGGGATGACCACACTGCAATCTCTTCTCCTCCATTCTTCCCTCAGGATCTTGGGCACACGCGTCCAGCGTGAGTTGAAGCCACCGGGTCTGGGACTCGAACCGTGGTCGACTACATGGGAGTCCAGCGACATAGCCATCACGCTAACTGCTGGTCCCATAACATGTTATTTCTTAGTGTGCATTAAATGGTGCCTTTGTACCTTTATATTTATTTTCCTTTTAAATTTTTCATTTTTCTTCTTGCTTGTGTACTACATAGAATTTTAGGAGGAAAGCACATAATATTATTCATACACTTATGTAACCCATTCAGGATCCTGAAATTGTTTGCCTCTAGAGATGGGATCCAAAGCAAATCTTATTTTTCTTTTTTCTATTTGATCAAATATAAAATGATACTTTTTACTCTTTTTTTGAGTATGTACTCTGTGCAGTGAAAAGTTAAATTGATTCTATAGCAAATTAGTTTTCTATTTTTTAAAGCACAATTAATCTTTAGATACTCTCAGCCAACTATAGAACAGTATATATATTCTTGTCTACTGAGAGAGCAGTGTGATGACTCAGTGCTACCTTTCTTCATTTTTTGTTCCCATTAAAGTCCATTCTTCCACAAATTTTCTTCACACTATCCTAGTTGTGGTTTGACCTTGAAATGGGTTAGTAATCTATAGTCAAGAAGTTAGGTGTATTTTTTACAGAAATCTGAATTTAATTTCTGTTTTTCCCTTTAACTCTTTCCAAGAGATTTTTTTTTTCAACCTTTGAAGCCTCCCTCAGTGTTTGAGGAGAGGTTAATCATCCATTAACTTTTAGGATTTTATCATTAAACATTATTTATCATCTTGATTTTTTAAAAATAATCATGAGCAAAATGGATATCTTAATAAAAATCTCAGTTGACCCAAGTGCGTCATTCTGTTTCAGTACATTGAGTTTCTTAAATTCAGAAATACTGATGTAGGCTAAAAATCAGTTTTGATGCATTGTTAGCGAATAATTAAGTCAGTTTAAGCTTTAATGAAATTATAGGTACTGTTGTAGATATCATGCGATTGAAATTTATTTATGCCTTATAATACTGAGTAAATACCACATTTTCATCTCAGCAAATTGTATTATTTAAAAATAACTTGATTTTAGTAACATTATTTAATAGTTTTTTTTTTCTCTTTATAAAATTTGAAAACGCTTAAGAGCCACAAAAAAGAAAACTGCCAGTAAGTAGTTCAGTGGATTTACAAGCACATGCTTTTAATTTCTGTGGATCAAACTATCTTTGGTACTGTGTTATCCCCTTCTCGCTTTCACTCAAAACTGTAAGTTTGACATATAAGTCCAATTAATACTGTATTTTAACTGTATGTGTTACTGCAAGAGTGGCTACATAGAATTAGATATGTTGAACTTAAGAGTTTACTTAATAGCTTCTGAAAGGAAATTTTTCCTGTGTCTACTGTTTGTCTTATAGGTCCTGTCCTTAAATCTAAGCTGTTACTAAGCTATCATTCTACCATGACAGTCTTGATACAAAGTCAGCTCTACCTGAGTCACGTAGTCTGGTGTGTCTGTATGGCTGTGTTGAAGTGTAAAGAAACCTG